TACAACTTGACATCGCTGAGGTAACTGTTGTAGCGGTAAATTTAGTATTATGTAAGTTCTCGCGCACTTTTTCTACACCCAGAATGTTAAATCAACTTAACTTTTTTTTCGGTGTAGGAGTTACCGAAAATGAATGAACCGCTTCGCCTTTCGAATCATTAAAATATGGTCGGTGATGATTTTTTTAGAGCTTTGTCTAATTTATCTTCGAAAGTAGGAAGTTTGGATTAAGCCATGAACGAGAAAATTGGCCGAGGAAAAACAGGAAAAAAATCATCAATAACAGTAATGAGTATCTAACATGATTTTGAACAGTTGTTGACGTCGCCAAGTTAAAACCGCGCCGCGGATTCTTGCAAGGCCTTTTGAGGGAGAGAAAGGACACTCAGAGTTAAAAGTGCATGCACTTTAGAGAGGGATAGCGCGCACCGCCCAGATTGCTGCTTCATTTCGATCGTGGAAATGATTGGAGTTGTTGGTCGTTTAATTTTTACACTTAAGAGTATATTAAATTACGGACTCTTTTAAGAGGGTCTTGAAGCGACTCGACCCTTTCATGTTGCCACGTTTGACTTAGAAAATGCTTACTGCAAGTTCAGCGCAAGACCCTCCTTTTTACGAGAGATTTTGCAATCGTGAAATATCTTAGTGGTCTCTGAGATGCAACTTATGAACAAAGTTGCCATATCTCTGGGGTAGGGTTAAGTATCCGATGCTCCTAGGTGTGTTTTTGCATATCCGTCAAAATTGAAGGGAAATGTAACTGAGCAATATCAAGTGCTCCAGCTTTTGTGGCATGAAACTTACGAGAAGAACGATTTCCCAAAAGAACATCGAAGAGCATGAACAGCCATTGATGGCTTGGAGAAAAAAAAAGGAGGTTGTAAGGTTGCGGAAGTTGTAATAGACGTTTTTGTCATCGCTTTTCTGGAAAAGGCGGTGTAGTTTATAGAAAAAAAGTTACTTTATTTAGATTTATATTATGTTTTGAGTTGAATTAGGCAAAAAAAACCCCGGACGTTGTGGTCCGTTTTTCATACGTTGAATTTCGGATTTTGCAAGAATATCGACGCCATATTGCACCTACGTACGTCACAGAGTAAATAAGTCTTCTGAATGTTTTAAAAAATGGCCTAATAGTAAAAAGTCATTTGGACGTATTTCTGCCAAACGGAACTACGTGCATTAAGACAAGAGTCCTGGGACCCATAAGAATACATGAATAATAGGGCTCACGTCATAATGCACATAATTCCGTTTGACAGAAATACGTCCATTCCATATAATTTGAAATCATATTTTGGGTTGAACAAAGCATATCAAGAAAAAAGGACGTTACGATCCGTTTTTCATACTTTGAATTTCGGATTTTGCAAGAATCGACGCCATATTGTACCTACCTACGTCAAAGGGTAAACTAATCCTCAAAATGCGACCACCTCTTTTTTTTCTCGATGAATAGACGGAGGATCAAATCATTTTTCTCCAATGCAACAACGGGGGAAAGGCTAAGAAAACGTGATATTGTTCGCAGGCGCAAGGATACAACTATTTCACCTCGAGCGATGGTCGGGTGGTATCATGAAAATTGAAGGCGTTTTGAAAACTTTCGTTCCTTGACCGTGCGTTGTCCAGATATGAATTGGTCGGATCACTCCATTTTCCCTTTGTCTTCTTTGTCTACAGCATTGTCTATCAATTTCAATGCATCGTGGCAGCCCTGGGCGAATCTCCGCCGACGTAACTCCAAGAGTGAAAAAATAATTCGAGGAGATCCAAGATCGATCATCTATCTCTCTGTCGCCGCGGCTCGTTCCCTCTAACTCGTCTGGTTTCGTCTCAAATAAACCGGGAGCCGAGTAGATGAGACAGCATGTTTGCTCTGTGTTTACGGGCGGGCCGTCCCGTCGGGCGTCGGTATGCCGAGTCGAGCGGCTAATGGAAGTGTTGGCGCTTTTAACACGAGCTACTTGCATCGCGCTCCTGTCAATCGCTTTTTAAGATGAAAATAAAAAATAAATAAATACAATTAGTCTGCGGCAAAGCCCGTCGCCCGGCCTCCGTCCATTTCACTAGTCATTATTTCAGTGCCCATTCATTCGCGGCCTTACAGACTCGTCAGCTTTTTCGCAAGCACTGACCTTTGCTCGGATTAACCAATAGGATCGCTTAATTCTCTCATTTTATTCTATGTCTATCACTTTGCCTATCAATTTCATGATCTGTCCACAGCGGGCTGATTATTTAAATTTATATACAAAGAAGACGTACGGAATATGGAGCGTTCCTATTGGTTGAAATTGGCGGTTGCTATAGACTAATAGGACCTGTGTTCTGATTATTGGAATCGATAGACAAAGCTGTAGACAAGGAAGACACAAGGGATATGGAGAGGTCCTATTGGTGGAGGCGGGTGTTTGCAGTAGACAAAGGAGATAGGTAATAGACTAGATGACGGCAATCCACGAGAGACCCTTCAGTTTATCCATCATTTTCTCTCTTATTAGTCTATAGCAACCACCCATTTCAACCAATAGGAACGCTCCATATTCCCTATGTCTTCTTCGTAGTAGAAATTGCAGCAGCAGCACTCCCACAATGCGAGAAAGGCTAGAAAAACGCGAATTCTTTGCAGGCGCAAGGATACAACTATTTCACCTCGAGCGATGGCCGGGCGGTATCATGAAAATTGAAGGCGTTTTGAAAAGGTTTCTTTTCTTGATCGTGCGTTTTCTAGATATAAATTGATCGAATTAATCCATTTTCCCTTTTGTCTTTTTTGTCTACAGCTTTGTCTATCAATTTCAAAAATCAGCCTCTTAAATAACTTCTAAACATGGTCCTCTTTTTCTGAAGCGGCAGTGGTAAAAACTGCAGCAGCAAGCACTCCCATAATGCGAAAAAGGCTAGAAAAACGCGAATTCTTTGCAGGCGCAAGGATACAACTATTTCACCTCGAGCGATGGTCGGGCGGTATCATGAAAATAGAAGGCATTTTGAAAATGTTTCGTTCTTGACCGTGCGTTGTCCAGATATGAATTGGTCGGATCACTCCATTTTCCTTTGGTCTTCTTTGTCTACAGCTTTGTCTTTCAATTTCAACAATCAGCCCCCTGAATAACTCCGAAACAATATTTTGTTTTCCTTAAGCGGCAGTAGTAGAAATTGCAGCAGCAAGCACTCCTATTATGCGAGAGAGGCTATAGGAAAACGTGAAATTCTTTGCAGGCGCAAGGATACAACTATTTCACCTCGAGCGATGGTCGGGCGGTATCATGAAAATTGAAGGCGTTTTGAAAAGGTTGCATTCCTTGATCGGATCACTCCATTTTCCCTTTGTCTTCTTTGTCTATTACTTCGTTTATCAATTTCAATGATCTGCCCGTAGCGGGCTGATTATTTAAATCTTTTTAAGAGACAAAAAGATTGACATAGAATACGATGAGAGAATGAAGCAATCCTATTGGTTGGAACGGGCGGTTGTTATAGACCAAGGGCGAGAACGATGGACCAACTATAGAGTCTCTCATGGATTGCCGTTACTTTTAGTCTGTAACTTACCTCCTTTGTCCATCATTCCAAAAAACAGTCTGATATGGCAAATCATCGGCACTGCTAGACAAAGCTGTATATACTGTACACTGTCACAATTTGTGGAGTAAAATTCTGTGCCGGAGTGAAGAATTAAATTGTTCTTGGAGTTACGTTCCTTAGTTCGTCGGGAGACGACGAACTGTTTAGAGTTTTCAGGAGGTAAGAATAATCGACCATATCAAACTAATAAAAGTATATTTCGTTTTTTGCCGGCACCAAAGTTGTTAACAGTGGCGTGGCGCGTTTCGATATACATATATCGATCTGCCATTTTAACGTATGAAAAAGGATCGATAAATAGGGTGTTCGCAACGAAAACTTGAATACTCAATTCTTTGCCATAGCTTCAAATGGGGAAGATATCGATAATCGATCATTTGCGCCTCGCCACCGGTTGTTAAATAGTGCTAACGGCCTGCGGACACCACTTCAGATAGAGCAAAGCGGTAAGAAACGCTCCAAGGAGCCCGCCAACCGAACTGACTAAGAAATTTGTCAAAGTCATGAAGCAATCGTTAGTTAGTATATAAAAAGTTAATCAGATTACACGAAACTTAATTGATGTATTTCCTGATGGGCGCAGCGCCGGCGGGGAGGGGGAGGAGGGGGATGAAGGGGGGGGGCGAGGGCTCACGCTAGGCGACCATTACGGCAGAGGGTTCGCGTGCCTCTCGGCTCGCTTCATTATAAAATTAAATTCGCCCTGAATAAACATTACCGGGCGAGTGAGGAATGAAAATTGTTATTTTATGTTTTAATAATTCACCTAATTACTGTTATTGCGATCGCCGGCGCTAGTGGGATAATGTCCGATTAAAGACTGTGCGAAATCGCCGAGATATCATTTGCGGGGCCACGCTATGCTATGGCACCCCCGACGGCCCCGAAGCAGCTGTAAATAAGCGCCCGTTTTCCTGGGTCCCCGGCACGACATTCCTTCGTTTGCGCGCGGGGAGGTTTTTAGCTACCCTCTCCGTTCTTCTCTGCCGTTTCTAAATTTTCGCTGCCATTTTATTTTTTTATAGGGAAATTTTTCAAGGAAGCTGTTCGCAAATTTTACTGAATTTTATTTGTGCTGCCGATAAAATTCAGTGACTTTTTCGAATAGATTCAACCGAAAATTTTCCGCAAAAAAATAAAATGGAGGCGGAAATTTTGAAACGTCACATGGCGTTTGCGATATTTTGGGCGGACGGTGACGCCATGTTGGGTAAATGCTAAAAATGACAACAATTGTAACCAATTTTTTTTTCTTTTTTGTGGAGGGAACAGCAATTGCAATTCGACGGACTCCCTCAGACTACCTTACACCCCCTTCTCCCGTTCGAAGTGTTTGGATCCTTCTATGTTCAGTAAATCCTAAAAATGACAATTTTAACGGAATGTTTCTCTTTTTTTCTGTGCAGGGGACAACAGTTGCAATTCGACGGACGGTCCTGGATCCCTAGCAGTGGCCTCGGATCTCCGGTGTCGGTCCCGCTCCCGGTCGGGGGACTATAGTCACAGCGAGGAGGAGTGCGGGGGCGAGGACACGGCGCTCCGGATAGGCAACCCGCACAGCGTGAGCCCCGGGCCGAACCCCGGGCACGGCGGGAACTCCGGGCCCGGGCTCTCGCCGGACAAGAAGAAGAGCCGCCGCAACCGCACCACCTTCACCACCTACCAACTCCACGAGCTGGAGCAGGCCTTCGAGCAGTCCCACTACCCGGACGTCCACAGCCGGGAGGAGTTAGCCTTAAAAGTCAACCTCCCCGAAGTCAGGGTCCAGGTGAGAGCACTTCTTCAGTCATTCTGACCGCAGTCGGGGGGCTCATTATTGAACGTATTTCTGCAGGGAGAAGAAAACCTCTTGCGTGGGACCCGAAGTTTAGGTCATATGGATCTCTGAAGTTTTCGGATTAAGCATCTGAACACTTTAGGTCTAGCCGTTGAGGTTCAGATCACACATCTGAAACTTCAGTTCTTACATCTGAAGTACTTCAGATGTGAGAACCGAAATTGTCCGGATGTGAAAACCGAAGTACTTCAGATGTAAGAACTGAAGTTACAGATGTGTGATCCAAACCTCAGCAGCTGGACCTAGAGTGTTCAGATGTTCAATCCGAAAACTTCAGAGATCCATATGACCTAAACTTTGGGTCCCACGCACGAAGTTTTTTTCTCCGTGTGCCAAACGGAACCAGAGACAGGTGCGAAAGAAGCATAGAGTACATAGAGTCGTACATAGAAATGGGAGAACTGGCGCCATGTTCTGCTCGACGAGTTCCGAGCCCGGTGTGTGAGTTTTTTTCGATCCAAAATGGCGGTGTGGAATACGTAGTGATTCCATGGCCGGGTCGGTCCCCGTGTATCGCAAACAATCGATTATGTATCGAAAAAGTGACCCGGCGCCGCACAGGAGTCTCGGAATTCGGGAACTGGAAATTGCTTAAAAGTGGCGCCAGCTCTCCCACCTACATTACTACTCTATATGCTCTATGGAAAGAAGGGACGTGCTCGAATCAAAGCTGAATCTTTAAAAAATTTGCCATTAAATATTCTCAAATTTCCCTGAAAATTCATGTTTCATTGAAGGTAATTAGGCATCGTTTGAATAAGGCACATACGTCGTTCTTCCTTGGCAGGGCAGCAGTGTAGTGGAGTTCGCGTCAGCTGCGTTCACGCACTGCGACAGAAGATCGTCTGACGTTATTTTCGCATGGAAAATAAATGCAAGAATAACAGGGCACAAAACCTGGAACAACTTTAAAAAAAAAAAAAAAAAAAAAAAAANAAAAAAAAAAAAAAAAAAAAAAAAAAAAAAAAAAAAAAAAAAAAAAAAAAAGCAAGATGGTGCGGATTTTCCGTCACAGTATTTGACGTGGACTCCAAGAAGTCTCTTGACAGAACTTGAAAGTCCAATCTCACTTTTATTACGGTGCTTCTTTCTTCGTCGATTTTTGGAACAACCAACCAATGGAATATCTCGATTCCACAATCCCTCCCATTCTTCGCAAGCTCGCCGAAAGTTGCACTGACTTTTCTGGATTTCGATTACAAGTACGATTTGTGTCGTAGTCAGAGACTTATGGAGTGCCTGTAAATATGTTAGCGTTGTCCCTCGTTGGAGATCTTGAGCATGCACCACTTAGAACTCCGCGGGATCATTGTGTTGGTGTTCCGAAAACAATAACAACGAGGATACTTTGATTTAACTCGATTTAGGGTTCGGCTGGATGTCAGGGGGTGATTTAATGCCGTTTCATCGACGTAGGTAGCGATTGAGGGAAGCGATATTTATGTGCCTTTGTCATGAAATATCCCTGTAACATAACTGTATAATGAGGCCGTGTCAAGTATCCGAGTATCCGGATCAGAGGCTAGGCACCGTCAGGCTTGCAACGTTGCCACCGATCCCAGAAATCCCTGACTCCTCCTTTACTCATATTGATATGTGACGTCATCTGTGCGGATTAAGTGTCGTGTTCCTGGTCGTTCCTTAAATAGCACCTATCTTTGGAAGGTTCCATATGGTTCAAATTTTTTGAAAAATTGAGATATTCATGATTTTAGCCAAAACAGGTCTAAAATATATTCTGTAAAAAATTCAATCCCACATTCCAATTTTCAAGCATTAAAAAGTGAGTTTGAACATTCTCTCCGCCGTAAAGCTTCCATGTAATTTTGAAACTCTAAACACGTATTTCTCGGAACAGCAAGAACTTACGTGCCTTGCCCTCCAAGCCCCTCAATTTTTGTCAACCTTGAGGGAAATTCAGCAGTATAACTTTAGAAATGGATCTTATAAAGGGATTTCAATGATTAGTTACTGCAAAGAGTACAAAATCTGCAAGCAAAAGTTCTATGATTTTGACAACATTTAAGGTGCCTACCTTAAAGTTTACAAAACTCGCAAAATATTTTCCTTCGTATCTTGCATTTTTTTATTTATTATCTTATATTTTGTTAGTTTTTCAGTTTTTTTAGTATATTAAATAGTTTTTTTAATGTTACCTTCTCTCCCAATCTCCTAGTTTTCTATTCTTCTTTTAGACGATGGCCGGGAAAATTTCCCATCTTCAGGTCCTTCTTCATGACTCGTATGCTAGATTTCTCGGAATGGAATTCAAGTACACACCCTAGCAGCATGGGAGTGATCAAGAAAGACCTGAAGATGAGAAATTTCCTCGAAATGGCCATCGTCTGAAAGCTAAATAGAAAACTAAGAGATTAGGAGGAAAGGTAAAATATTCAAAAAATAATATTGCATTTTTGGGTTAATGATATTTCAATTCAATCTCTGTCAAGGACCCATTTCCAATGTTTTACCATTGAAGTTTCCTCGAGGTTTGGAAAAATCGTCCTTTTTATGATTTTCTGTCAAGCATCTCCTTGAATGAAGGTGGAACATTTTTTTTAAAACTTAAAACTGCAGATCACCGGAATTCTGGTCTCGGGATTGATATACTTTGAATATTTCTCTTCTTAATTGAGCATTAACATATTCGTAAAAACACTCCAAGATCATTGGAATCGATATCTGATACATGAATATATGTCGATGGTGAGGTACGAATGACCGATTATCGATAGTTCTCCAATTGAGGCTGTAGAGAAGAATCGATTATTAGGGTGTTCGTTGCGAACATCCTGTATATTGGTCCTTGCCGTAGGTTTGTAGATAAATCTATATATCTCAAAGCACGCCACGCCACATAGTGGATCGAGTCAATCAGAGAGGTCGGACATGAAATTTTTGACTAAAACTGCAAATTTTGCTATTTGTTTTGTCACATTTTAAATGGATTGCATTTTGCAAAAAGGAACCAGCAGCATTACAATATTGCTAGGATTGTTCAGCTCCTTTTGTCTTGGAAGGTACACATGATTATCCCTAATCAGTTTCTATTTTACTCCCTAAAAACTGTAAATTTAGGACAAAAATTAGCATATAAATTTCATATTTTTTCAGCATATAAATCAGTGTACCGCAATGAGTGGACTTGCACAATTTTAGCAATATTGCAATGCTCCTGGTTCCTTTTTGCAAAATGCAATCTAAGTTTCAAGGGGTATTTTTAGAGGAAAATTTCACGAGAAAATCAATGGAGCCGCTTTTAGACCTGCAAATTTTTGCATAAACGGAGTTATAAGAGTTCAAAGTTTCCAAATTTTGTCCTACCTCTCCTATTGACTCGATCCGCTGTGCGGCACTGATATAATAATATGTCCGTCAGTGGGGTAGAAATAAACCCAGCTCGGCGCTAGTTGCGGCAACGGATCCTCCTACAAGGACAACCCTTTCCAACCCCCCGGCCACCCCGTCCGCCAACATCCCCCAACTCCTCTTCTCGAGCCCCAATAAATTCGAGTGTACGTAATGTCATAAATAAATCCACTCGATTCGCATAAAGTGATAAATTATCGGAGCCTCCCGACCGAAACCTCAGCGAGCGAATGCTCCTCCGTGATAAGAAAAAAACGTCATATGAACATTTGGATGGTGCCAAATTTCCATCAATAAAATGCATATTTTTGTGTAAGAATTATAATTTTCTGTTTTATTTTTTTTCGAAATTCAATGGAGTCGTGGCCGATCTACAGCAGTGGCGAGGCGCGGATGATCGATTTTCGATGTTTCCCCATTGTTAGTTATGGTGAAAGATCGATTATTAAGGTGTTCGCTGCCGACGCCCTGTTTATCGAGCATTTTTCATAGATTTAAATTGCAGATCAATCGATACATCGCAAAGCAAGCCACGCCACTGATGTAGAGAGATTTGAAGAGCCCTGTACGTACACTGAATGTACCTCCGTACTCGTACAATATGTTCACTGAAAAAAAAAAAACTAATCTTAAATTTGCGGCCAAATAGTATTTTTTCTTAAATTAAGAATTTAGATGCTTAATATATACTACTTTTTTCCTGAAACCAAGCATCAACCAAAATTCTGAAAACTTTTGCCTCCCTTAATTTAAAATCTGAATTTTTGTACATGCACCCACCTGTCATATTCTTTGTCAGGTATTAATAGCCTATGTTGCTGAATGTCTCTACACTGGAAAAAAAAACAAAAAAAAAACACATTGAATCTAGAGTCCAGACTCTTAAAAATATCGACAAGAAAGAATACTCTTGATTCAATCGGATTTTTGCTTAAATCAAGAACCAAGCCTCTTAATTTTAGCGGATTTCCTTTCGATCTAAGCAAAAATCTGATTGAATCAAGAGTATTTTTTCTTTTCAATGTTTTCAAGAGTCTGGACTCTAGATCCAATGTGTTTTTTTTCCAGTGTAAATAAATTAATTAATTAACTAACTATTTTTCCTGTGTCAAGGAAAATTAGCTTAAATCAAGATAAAAACGTCTCGGCGGAAAATTCAAGAATCAGCATGCTTGAACCAAGCACATTTTTATTCAATGTTCGTGATATTCCTCAAAAATAAACATTTTTTGGAGAAAGCCAACGTTTAAATGCCATACGTCGTTCTTGCCGAGGACGGCAACGGCGCTGACGTCGACGTTGCGCACATGACGTTGGCTCTTGTGCCGTTCCTCATACCGTTGATAAACATGCAACTCATCTAACGCTCCTTTGCACGACGCCCGACTGTTTTAATCTGCTTCGCCCGGGAGAAACCACGTATCCGAATTCGGCACCCATTATGAGTTACGCGGTTCTTGCCGAACGTGGTAGTAATCTGTTCCCTTTTTTCCCCGGGGGCTATTGATTCCTCTTTCGGAGTCGTTACTCTGATGGCTATCAGTTTTTAGACAGGTATCGAA